GCCACACTCCAGTAACTGTAATGAAAATATTTGCCTACACTAAAATTTAAAACTTTGGTTCCTCAAAAGATGCCATGGAACGAAAAGATACAAAACAGTGGGAGAAGATACTTGCAACATATACAATCCATAGAGCATGGGTATCCAGAATGTCAAAAAAAAAATTCTATAAATAAGAAAATTAACCAAGACATGGTGGTGCACACCTATAGTCCCAGATCTTTGGGAGGCCAAGATGCAGGAATCACTTGAAGCTGGGAGTTTGAGGATGTGGTGAGATATGCTCGCACCAACTGAACTCCAGCCTGGGTGACAGTAAGATCCTGTCTCTAAAAAAAAAATAATAATGCAGATAATCCCATAGAGAGCCAGACAAAGGTTGAACAGGCACTTTATAATAGAGGAAGTCCAAATAGTCAATAAAAAGTTCTCAACCTCACTCATAATCAGGTCAAGGAAAATTTAAACTACAATAATAGAAAGAATTCAAATTCTCTGTTGGGAGTGACTAGAGGCCTCAGTTGGGAGGTCCTGCCTTAGTGAGGAGGAGTGGATCAGGGACCTGCTAAAAGGAGCAGTCTGGCTACATTTTGGTAGAGCAGCTGTGCTGTGCTGGGGGCATTTGTGCATACCAGACTGGTATAAATAAAAACATTTTGGGCCAGGCATGGTAGCTCATGCCTATAATCCCAGCACTTTGGGAGGCGAAGGCAGGTGGATCACTTGACGTCAGGAGTTTGAGACCAGCCTGGCCAACGTGGTGAAACCCCATCTCCATCAAAAAATACAAAAATTAGCCAGAAGTGGTGGCACATGCCTGTAGTCCCAGCTACTTGGGAGGTTGAGGCAGGAGAATCACTTGAACCAGGAGGCAGAGGTTGCAGTGAGCTGAAAGACTGCCACTACACTTACAGCGTAAGACTCTTTTTAAAAACAAAAAAAAACATTTTGGCAATTTCAGACAATTTCATGTATTGGCAAGGATGTGGAGCAAAAGGAATTCTCAAATACTACTAATGGAAGTATAAATTGTATATTTGTGAAATTGTTTAACATTATCTAGAAAGGTGAATATATCCCATGACTGATTCAGCAATTTCACTACTATGTGTATGTGTGCATGTACTAAATTTATAACCACAAATTTAGTAGCTAAATAATGCATATTTATGATCTTACAGTTCTAGAGCTAAGAAATTCTAAAATCAATGTATTGGTAGAGCTGCATTTCTTTTGGAACAATCTGTATTTGACTTTTCCAGCTTCTAGAGGCCTCCTGCATTTCCTGGTTCATGGCCCCTCCCTCCATCTGTAAGTCCAGCAGTGTAGGATTTAAAAATTTCTCTCTTCTCTCCTTTGCTTCCACTGTCACTTCTCCTTCTCTAGATCTGACCCTCCTAAATCCCTCTTACAAGGATTCTTGTGATTCCATTGGGCCCACCAGGATAATTCAGAATAATCTTCCCACCTCAAAATCCTTAACTTAATCACATCTACAAAAGCTCCTTTTTGTTTTGTTTTCCTTGAAATGGAGTGTTGCTCTGTCGCCCAGGTTGGAGTGCAGTGGCTCAATCTTGGCTCACCGCAACCTCGGCCTCCCAGGTTCAAGCAATTCTCCTGCCTCAGCTTCCCGAGTAGCTGGGACTACAGGGATTACATGCCCAGCTAATTTCTTTTGTATTTTTAGTAGAGATTGGGTTTCACCATGTTGCCCAGGTTGCTCTCGAACTCCTGAGCTCAGGCAATCCACCTGCCTCTGCCTCCCAAAGTGCTAGGATTACAGGCGTGAGTCACTGCACCCGGCCAAAAGCTCCTTTTGCATGTAAAGTAACATATCACAAGTTCCAGGGATTAGGACATGAACATTTCTGGGGGTGGGAACTGGGGTGTATTATTCTGTTTAATAAACATATGTAAATGTACTCATATATACGTACACCAGGATAATGTTCATAGCATATTTGTTTGCATTATGAATTGAAAACAACCCCAATCTATTCATTTAAAGTTTTAAAACAGGCAAAACAAAAGTGTATTGTTTAGGAATACATAAGTGACAAAGTTACAAAGAAAACCAAGTAAGAAAAAAACTGCCAGAGATCCAGGTTTAAAAAAAAAAGAAAACCAAGGAAGCAATCATAGTAAAAGACAGATGAGTGTGTTACCTCTAAGGGTGAAAGGTCACAATCAGAGGACAAATATGGGGAGAGTGTTGGAGCATTGGCAATTTTTTTTTTGACTTGAGCACAGTTAAATGGGTGATTGCTTATAATTACTCGTTAAATTAGGTGTACACGTTTTCTGCTGTTTTCTGCATTCATGTTCTATTTTTTTAAAGTAAAAAATAAAGTAAAACTATGTTTCTTGAACTTCAAATACTGGAAAGCCAAAGAAAATTCGAAAAACTTAGAATGAAGAGAGTTTGGCAAGATGGCAAGAACCCTTGCTTTTTCCACTGGGCCTTTCTTCCTCCCACCCTGAGGGTGCTCCATGGAAAATGCAAATCTCCTTAACTGACATTCCCAAATGTTAAATGTATAGAGTATGAATTTCAAGGGAAGCCTGGGGCTGTGCCAGATCCTGCTGTGAGCTAAAATTTTCCAACCACTAGAGTCATCTTAACCTGGTGCCTGCCTGGTGTCTACTCCCCCAGTATGTGCTCCAACCCCTGCCCCAGGCCTCCTAGTGCTAGAGAGGATATTGACATGGCCTCTCCATAGAAACTTCCAGGGCTAGTATGCACGCCTTTATAAACCAAAAAGGAGGACTGTTGGGCAGACGGGACATGCAGGAGGACAGGCATTGCCTTTTGGGTGGTAGGGAGGCTGAGAGGGCCATCCAGAGCAGGGACCATGAACTGGGTCTCAACATGAAGGGTCTTTCATCAGATTTAAAGGGGACAAGGGCCCCCAGGCTGAAGGAGGACTAGGGGTCAGGGTGGGGAGGACCCTGGGATTGACTGGGCATTGTCTCTATGCTGAGAGATTTGGGTGGTGGAAAACCTTGGAAAGAGTCTCAGGGTCTACTGAGAAAACATCCAGACTAGACTTTTTTCATGTGATAAAATATACATAACATACAATTCACCATTTTAACCATTTTTAAGTGTACAATTCAGTAGCATTAAGTACATTCACATTGTTAAGCAACCATCACCACCATCTATCTCCAGAACAGTTTCATCTTCCCAAACTGAAACTCTGTACCCATTAAATACTAACTCTTCATTCCCCAGCCCTCAGCCCCTGGTAACAACTACTCTACTTTCTAGCTATGTGAATTTAATTACTTTAGGTATTTCATATTAGTGGAAGCAGGCTGAGTGCAGTGGCTCACACCTGTAATCCCAGCATTTTGGGAGGCCGAGGCAGGCTGATCACTTGAGGTCAAGAGTTCGAGATCAGCCTGGCCAACATGGAGAAACCCGATCTCTACTAAAAATACAAAAATTAACCGGACATGGTGGCTCACACCTATAGTGCCATGTACTCAGGAGGAGGCTGAGGCATGAGAATTCCTTGAACCTGAGAGGTAGAAGTTGCAGTGAGCCAATATCGCGCCACTGCACTAGAGCCTGGGCAGCAGAGCGAGAACTCTATCTCAAAGTAAATAAATACATAAATAAGTGGAAGCATATAATATTTGTCCTTTTGTATTGACTGATTTCATTTAGCACAATGTCTTTAAAGTTCATCCATATTGCCACATGTCAGAATTTCCTTTCATTTCAAGGTGCAGTAATATTCCACTTACATACATATCATATTTTGTTTATCCATTTATGTACTGATGGGCATTTGGTTTTTTTCTGCCTTTCAACTATTGTGAATAATGCTGCACCTACAGACTGAATATTTGTGCCTCAAAATTCTTATGTTGAAACCTAAGCCCTATTATGATGGTATTTGTAGGTGAGGCTTTTAGGAGGTAATCAGGTCATGAGAGCAGAGCCCTCACGAATAAGCTTAGTGCCTTTATGATAGACACCTCAGAAAACTCCATTGCCCTGTCTTCAATGTAAGGTTATAGCAAGAAGATGGCTACTAACCAGAAAGTGGGCCCTCACCGGACACCAAATCTTCTGGTTCCTTGATCTTGAACTTCCCAGCCTCCCAAACTGTTAGAAATAAATTTCTGTTCTTGAATAGCCACTCAGTGTGGCATTTTATTACAGCAGCCCTAATGGGATAAGACAGCCACTATGAACACTGGTGTGTGAATACAGGCTAGACGTTTCAGAGTGAAAAACTAAGGGGCTTTCAGTTAAGAAAGCAACCATTGGAGAGGTCACTATAGTTACAATTACCAAGACCAGAGAGAGACCCAGGAACTCCAAATCCACCTCCTACCTGCTGTCAGTGACCTCATGGCCCTGTTGATACATGCATCTCTGCAGAAATGAAGTGTGGTCATTCCAGGCCATGGGCTTTTCAATAGCAGCTAAAACCTCAACCCAGCGTACATGTTCAGTGGAGGGACAAGAATGTGACTCAGTAGTTAAATCTGAAAGTTTTCAGAGCTGAAAAAGTCCATCACAAACTTGTGAGACCCAGTATGCAAGAAAATGCTTGGAAAACATTAGTGCTCAACAGTAAAGCAAATTTTTTTTTTTTTTTTTTTTTTGGACAGAGTTTCGCTCTTGTTACCCAGGCTGGAGTGCAATGGCGCAATCTCGGCTCACCGCAACCTCCGCCTCCTGGGTTCAGGCAATTCTCCTGCCTCAGCCTCCTGAGTAGCTGGGATTACAGGCACGCGCCACCATGCCCAGCTGATTTTTTGTATTTTTAGTAGAGACGGGGTTTCACCATGTTGACCAGGATGGTCTCGATCTCTTGACCTCGTGATCCACCCGCCTCGGCCTCCCACAGTGCTGGGATTACAGGCTTGAGCCACCGCGCCCGGTCTGTAAAGCAAATGTTTTAAACTAAATTCCTATGTACAGAGGGAAGACTCACCAATCAGGCACAGTGTAGAGTGAGATTTGTCTGGACTTATCCTTGTTTTTTAAAGTTGAAAGTCCTTTGTACTGGGAACCCCCTCAGGCCAGGGCAAATCCCTTGTGCCCTTGGGCTTTACAGGGCCTTCAGCGAAGACATCTGTCTCTGCCCTGCTTGCCTCTGGGTGCCTGCAGGGGAAATACAGTGAGCAGGGAGTTAGTAACCACCATAATCAGAGCCACGTGTAGGAAAATAGTTTGCATGTCAAAAGTGACGCCATCTTGAAGCAAAACCACCATGTGACTGACATTTGACTCCTGCATACCAAGGTGTTCAGCAGCAAGGTCAAGAAACAATGCATGTAGTGTAGATAAACCCTTGTAAAGATGCTTATCTAACTCCACCAGTGGTAAGGAGTTTCGCAAGAGGATCTAAGATATGAACAATTACACATGCATTTACCCTAAAAGCATGCCATATTAAGAATAACTTCTGGAGGATGACTGTGGGGATCCACCGTCTCTCAGCTGGCAAAGACATCACTTCCGTTCGTAAGTCCCTATTAAATACTTCTTTCTGAGAAACGGGACTTGTCAGCCTTTTCATTCAGCCTCTCAGCTCCCTCAGCCTTCAGGGGTAGGTGTGTGTAGACCTGCTCACCGCAGAAGCCATATAAATTAAAGGACAGCAACAGCGATGAGTCGAGTGAAGCTGATCTCTGCCAGCATGAGCTGCCTTTGCATGGATGAGAATTTGCTCTCCAAGTGGGCAAATTACAGAAAGACACTTTTCCTCCTGGCTGATGCACTCTTGTGCTCAGCCCATGTTGAGGTCTGGCTTATGATCCTCTCACTTCCAAAGCTCAAAGCCCTTTTGGAAAACTCAATGTGCGTAATTATCTGGGGTGGTTGGGAAGAGCTCTCTGGAGAGCGCTGAGTAAGGGGCAAGTGAGCTTATCCTGGAGCTCATGTGAAACACAGAGCCCTGCAGCCCCCACTCCTGCATCAGGAGTAGGGTTTATAAGGGCCCCGAGGTATTCTCATGGGCCTACTCCTTTACCCCGGAATTGGACGCCATCAAAAATTTCAAGGTCTGTAGAATGTGGAGCTCACATGGGGAGGTACAGTGAGACCTGTCCTGTGTGGTCCAGGCCTGTGTCATGGAATACTGTGTCCTCCAGACTTCTGGGTTACTCGACGCTTAATGCCCAATTACACACAACAAGAGCCCCAGCCTGCTGGGACCACATAGCACTCCTGTGATCCAGGGCTCTGTGGCTTCCTTTTTCTCTGACCACTACTCAGGGCTCTTGGCACTTATGCTCCAGCCTGCTTGTCACTCTTCTCCTGCTGCTGTAACTCAAAGCTACCCACTGTATGCACTGGAAACCAAAGAGTAGGGAGTGGGCATCACCCCTGGCTCCCACAATGCCTGAGCCAGGTCTCCAGGCCTGAGACAGGGGGCCCTACCTGGGGATTTGGGAAAGTGGATCCGGGCTCTAAGACCTCTGATATCTTCTTAGGCTGAGTCTTGATGAAAGGGCAGGCCTGGGAGGAGGGCTTTCTCTGAGAAAAGAGGGTGACGGTCCAGGGGCTGAAGGGTTTTAGCTCCCAAAAAAAGTGCCCTGGAAGAAGATGCGTGTGAATCAGACAGAGCGGTGAACATTTGTCCAAACTCTCCTCTCTCAGTCTCAGGGGACTTCCACTTCAGCAGGAAGGGAAGGTTATCCACACCTGACAGGTCTCCTTGGGGAAAGGTTAGTCAGGCCTCTGAATGGGGAGGCAGGTGCATAGGAATAACAGGCTTTGAGTGAAGGGCATGGGGGAGCTGTGGCAGGGTTGTGGAGCTGGTTTGGGTGCTCTACATCTGCACCTGGCTGTGGCATGCCTGGAGCCTGGGGCAAACACAGAACACTTTGTTTACTCCAATCACCAGCCCCAACTGTCTCCCTTCTTGCCACTCACTCCTGACCCGGATCAACTTCCAGGGCAGACTCCCAACTCTGGAGTCACTTGCAGCACTTAAAAAAAAAAAAAAAAATTCCAGCACAGCTTAGAGCCTCAAACTCTTTTCCAATGTGACGCCCATCTCTTCCTCTCCCCAGGGCTGGCTGGCACTGGCCACAGAGAGCTGAAATGGGGGCACAGGGGAGGGCATGGTCTGGCCTTTTTCTTCTCTCCTCCCTCTTCAGGACCTTTTCCTCCGTGGTGTACTGGGGCAGGGAGGAAGAGGGTGGAAAGAGACCTGTCTCTTACATGACAGGCACTATCGTCATCCGCTGATTTGTTGCTGCTTTTCAGGCTGGGCATGTCTGGCTGTGAGGCTGTCTGTGGCAGGTGGGTCCCCACGGGGCATGTGTGTGCATCCTACAGGACTTTCAGTAAGAATAAGCAGAGACCTCCCTCCCTCACAGTTCCCCATCAAGGAAAACCCATGGTGTGGCCTCTTATGAGCCCCATTGCTCTGGTCCCTGTGGTTGTCCTGCATCCTCTGCCTGATGGGTCTCCTCGCCTGGAAGGCAACAATCTTAATCAGAGATTTAAGGCCCTCTAACTTTTAGGTGTCCACTTAGGCAAAGGGAAACCCTATGTCCTTTCTCCTCCACATGGTGGGAGGATAGAAGGCTCTAGGGCCCTCTGTCTGAATGGTTTCTTCCTGGCTCAGAGGCGCATGGTTGGGTGCTGCTTGTCTTTTCCAGGGCAGTTGGTAAAATCCTATCCAGCATCCTGTTACTGTCACCCAACACTAAGGGGGCAGTTTAGAACAGGCAGATAGCTCTAGTGCAGCACAGCTAACTCGGAAGGAGGCAACACTGCAGTCACTAGGTGTCTGTCATTAGAGTGCTTTAGGTGGAGACTGACAGGAGGGTTTCAGAATATAGAAACTGGGGCCAGGTGCAGTGGATCATACCTGTAATCCCTGCACTTTGGGAGGCTGAGGCAGGCGGATCACTTGAGGTCAGGAATTCTAGACCGGCCTGGCCAACATGGTGAAACCCCGTCTCTACTAAAAATACAAAAAATTTGCC